TAAGGTGGTTTCTGTAAAATCTCCTCCCTTAAAAATTAAAATATATCCATTCTTTATCTCAAATCACATACGTGAAGACTAGGCTTCGAAGCAAAATGGAGGATGCTTTCCTCTCATACGCATTAATGATGTTTATTGAAAGAGAAATTTCTAAAAGTCTGAGCATCGATACTATCATTGAAGACTTCGAAAATTTTAAGGAACGTCGAATTCCTTTTAGTTAGAGAAATTTTAATTATAAAAAATTAAATGATGCTTATTTGAATATTTTCTATATAATTTTTGTCTTCCTCGTTTAAAATATTTTGGAGATATTGACGTTGACTATTCTACTCGTTTTGTTTGGATTGTGATGTACCTCTTGTGAATAAAATTACATTAACAAAAATTTTCGTCTATCTTTTGTATGCCCCCGGCCCACTGAAATTCTGGATCCGTGCGTGACAATGATATTACCTCACACAACGTTCTACAACAAAAGTTACCTAGGTTGACTTATGCATGAATTCGCCCGCCCTAAAATTGTGCACGTAAATGCTCTAAACTTTTACCTTGATTGGATCGGATTAAAAAAAGTCATAAGATTGTGATATAACTTTAAGCTTTACCTTTGAACAAATGCAAGATTTAATAATTATTTTAAATAGAACAATATTAGTCCTCTAATTCAAGTCTTACTTCGACCGACATAGTACGAAGAATTTTCATAGTAGAACTTATATATCGTTCCATCTTTACTTTTAAAAATCTGTATTATTTTGTTAAAGTCCTATTCTTACATTGCTTTATACCAGTATAATAATTATTTTAAGTATCATCGCAATTATTATTTTTAAATAATAATTATTATTTTAATATTATATCATCGCAATTCTTCCTCTTTTACAAATTCGTTTGTTGGGAAATCGAGCCCAACAAGGCAACAAGTCATAACGTTATTGACCAATGACCAGCTTAAAGTATACTTGTTCATATTTTTGAGTTGAAAGATTCAAGCCTATTAAATATTTAAATGTTCGGACTTTCAAACGACAACCTCAATTTTTCAAATAATGCAGTTAAATGCTCTCATTTGTCTACACATCTAAAGTTGATGTTGAAGGAATCATAATCTAGCAATTACAAATTGACCTATTCATGAGAAAAATTCAGACCCAACTTACTTTTACCCGATTACTGCTAATTGTACTATACTTTGTTTACTGGTTTGTTGATATTGTTAGTAGAATGGTTTACTCTTATTTATTCTGAAATAAGGCAGAAGGGGAAACATAAAGATTTTCTGAAGGGACAAAAGGAAAAATAGCAAAAATTCTGTATCATTTTATATTTGTACCTCTTTTCATTTTCTAGAGATGCTTTTAGTTTTTAGGTACCAATGTGGTACTCGGGATACGTGTAACATTAATCCATTGTGCGATGTGAAGATTTAGGACTTAAGACTGTTTTTTTCTTGTCGCTTTAGTCTTGTTATTGGTTTAGCAAAAGCATAATTACTTTAGATTTTCAGGAATACTTCTTCTCTCAGGACACCCGACCGCAAGGAGTGGTGTGAACCTTTCTTTGCTCTAGCTGAGCAATTTGAACATTTATTTGCTCTCTCTATTGGCTTCAGATCATTTTGCACGATGCGAGACGTTTTCATAGGATTAATACTCAATTTTCAGGGTCTATCCTCCAATTGGTTCGGTTGTGATCTTGTGTCTTTATATTTATGAATAATTTAGTTAAGAAAATATGTGTGCGTGCGTGTGCGTGTATAAGTGTATATGAGCTGACAACTCATTTTGTGCTACCCACTAACGTCAACAGTGAGTGTAGGGTCTAGTGTTTGTGTGTGTGCAACTCATTTTGTAAAATAAATTGTCAGTTAGCTCATACGCATTACCCTAATATGTGTGTGCGTATTTTCAAAACTACCTGTAAATCTCAATATTTGCAAAAATACTCCTCTATGCATCAATTTTGAAAATATACAAATAACCCTAACAAATAATACTAACTTCAGTGCAATCTTGGAAAAGGAATATCCTCAGAACTGCCCACATGCATGCGGACAGTTCTGAACTGCACATAGGAAAAATAGGGGGCAATAATCTTGGAAAAGGAATATCCTCAGAACTGCCCACATGCATGCGGACAGTTCTGAACTGCACATAGGAAAAATAGGGGGTGATCAAACTTGACCTATGGTGTTTCAACCATGTAAGGACAAGTGAATAATATACACAAGCCACATAATTTACTTTAATTTGATTGAGAAATGTGATGCAATCTAACCTTTGATTTCCTGAAAAGAGCATCATAGAAAACACGCTCAGCTTCTGATTGTTCACATTCCACAATCTGTACAGTGGCAGGAGGCAGAACGAGAATGGGCCTGCACAAAAGAGAATCAGAAGGTTGAAGCAAAGTGAAATGTTTTTTAATGGTAGTAAGGAGAGGAGAAAATCAACTTGCCTTCCATTTGTATCCTTTGTGTCCTTCGTTCTTCTAAGCATCAGTGATCTTAGAATACCTCTAACCAATCTTAACCCTCTTTCATCACCTTTCTCATAAGGCCCTTGAATCAGTTTCTGCCACCTAAAGAGATAAAGAAAGTAGGGAATGGCTGTAAATGCAAAATCACTAACCAATAAAAACTATTAATACACCGTCAAACATTCATTCTAATTAAGTGAGCTACTTTTAAGACATAACTCCATAATTAAGTAACTAAAAATGATTAACCATATACAAAACGTATAAAACATGCAAGCATCTATTGATACTTAAACATTGAGGATTAGCTCACCCTATTTTATTATCACTTTTATTATAGAAATTAACTCATTTTAATTACATAGAAAGCAAAATGGAGTAGCAGTAGATTTTATTTTTGACGTTTTACGAAGAAACACGATATATTTTCAAATGTTGCTGCACTTACAATGCCCAATTACACCATGGCTGGACCTTTAAGAAACAAAGGAGGCTGTAGAGATCTTCCAAATTATTCTGCAACAACAACAAAAACATGAAAGAAAATCACAGCTAGTTGGTTTAAGTAATATAATCTTCAAGTATTAAGAGATCTCATAGGCATATCAGCCCAAATTATTGACCCACCTCTTAGATACAAGCATAGCAGTAGTGTGTAAATAAGAACGTCATATGATAGAGAGAAAAAAGTAATTACGGACCTGAAGAGGAGTACCAGTAAGACACCAACGGCAGTATGCAGTTAGAGCAAAGGCTGATTGGGCTACTTGAGCTTTTGAAGATTTGATGGTGTGTGCTTCATCTAGTACCACTCTGTACCAATTAATTCTGTGAAATATGCTCGGCTTTGAATTTGAATTCTGGATAGAAGACAACTTTGTCATTCATGGCTAAAACTGCATATAGATTAGAAGTAGATAAAAAAGAATGTCAATAATCCTTACAGATTTAAAAGATGATTGTAGAACCCCATATGTTGTTAATACGACATCATAAATGGCAATTTCTCTGGGATCATTTGTTCTGTCACAACCATAGTGAATGAATACAGAAATCGAACCAGGCCGTGAATGGGTCTCTAGCTCATCCTGGAATAATAATTGAACTGGATGCTTCAGTGATTTAAAAAGAAAAAGAACAGGATACAGCTTTCCAAGACTAATACTAGAAGTAAACTAGGACTTTGAAAGTACTGTTAAAATAATAGATAAGAGAAATTGAATTTGTTACAGAGGCATAATGTGTGACAGTTACCTTCCATTGGCCAAGTAATGCCATGGGACAAACAATTAGGGTTCCTCCCTTTACAAAATTTGATTCTTCCTCAGGATTCTCCATTTCTATATCATGGTTCTCTCTCTCTCTATATATATATATATATATATATATATATATTGTTGGAAATTAGAGAGGAGATGAGGAGATAATATCTTTCTATATTATTCATCAACTAAAAGTGCCTTTATATAGGCTTACAAAACAACTTAATCCCATAAAAATCTAAACTAATTAGCAACAACTCCACCAACAAAATAACAACCTAATAACAAATTTGAATCAGTTATTCAACATTCCCCCTTGATTCAAAATTTCTTGTCATTCTTGAATTTTCATAGAGCACTTCTCTCCACTTTGTGATGCACTTCTCATCTCAAACTTGTTGACGCACATACTCACCAACATTTCTTAAAGGAGCACTTAACCTAATAACTAATTTTGAATCAGTTATTCAACATTCCCCCTTGATTCAAAATTTCTTGTCATTCTTGAATTTTCATAGAGCACTTCTCTCCACTTTGTGATGCACTTCTCATCTCAAACTTGTTGACGCACATACTCACCAACATTTCTTAAAGGAGCACTTCTCTCAATCTCTCCATGGCGCACATCTCACCATGATTCCTAGAATAAAATTTCTTCTTCAACTGCTTGTGCCATGTTTGCTTGTTCTTCACCATTATATCGACAATATTTTTGGATATGACCAAATCTCTTGCATTTGTGACATTGAGGTTTTCCTTTATGCCAACAATCCTTCTCCTCATGACCAAGTTTCTTACAATTGTTGCATTGGACTCCTTTGCCTTTCCCTTTTGAAGATGAAGTCTTGGCTAATAAGGCTTCTTCAAAATTTTCACCATTTTCTTCATTCCTCATTGCTCTCCTTTGGTCTACGGCACTGAGGGCATTGACTAAATCCACTAGAGTTATTTTTGATAAGTCTTTGGAATCTTCAAGTGAGGAAATTTTGGACTCATACCTTTCGGGAACAGTCACTAAAATCTTATCAACCACTCTTTCATTTGAAAATGTTTCACCAAGCAATCTAATTTGATTGATAATAGCCATAAGCTTACCGACATACTCTTTGATGGTCTCACCTTTCTTCATCTTTTGCATCTCAAACTCCCTCTTGAGATTCAGAACTTGCATCAATTTTGTTTGATCGTTGCCTTCGAATTCTTCCTTTAGCATCTCCCACGCCTCCTTAGGTGATTCACAAGTCATTATACTTGTGAAGATTCCATCTGACACGGCTGAATGAATACAAGAGAGGGCTTTTGGCTTCTTTGCTTTTTCTTCATCGTGCTTCTTGATTTGTTTTAGGGTTGGATTTTGTGGAAGAGGGGTAGGCTCATAGTCACTCTCAACAACTTCCCATAAACTCAAAGATTTCAAATGAGATTTCATCTTGATAGCCCAAGATTGATAATTGTCTCCATTGAAGATGGGGTATGGAAGCGAAAAATTGTTGGATGCCATTAAAACGAATGGTTGATCACTCTATTTTTTTAAATCCTCACAAACCAAGTGAAAAATCAGAGACAACAACTCATAATATTCTGGCTTGCTGCAGTTCATCGGCACTGGAAGAAAACGTAATAGAAAAACTCTCGAGATTTTGCCATGTTCCGGCTGCAAATATCATTACTCTTTATGATGTAACAAATATCTGGCACATTCCTTTGCTTCTAAGGGAGCAAAAAGCGCATGAAGCAATATTAAAAGAATTGAATCTTCAAAGTGTTGATGGATACCCAGTGCTGGCGGAATGGATAGCTGGGATGAATCATTTCCTTATGCTGTCATGCTTGCAGCTCAAGACGTTGCACGGTGATGCAAAAAAACATGGGATTAAACTTGGGATCACGGCTCTGATACCATGTTGGAAATTAGAGAGGAGATGAGGAGATAATATCTTTCTATATTATTCATCAACTAAAAGTGCCTTTATATAGGCTTACAAAACAACTTAATCCCATAAAAATCTAAACTAATTAGCAACAACTCCACCAACAAAATAACAACCTAATAACAAATTTGAATCAGTTATTCAACATATATATATATATATATATATTCTATCAAGACTTTTACCAAGAGCCCCTTTGCTAATCCTCACCTAGATGAACAACTAAATAATTCACCAAAAAAGAGAAAGTGGACACAAAAAAGCAAAAAACCCCAAAATTGGGATTATTATTCCCACATCTTTGGGATGAATGGTGGTAATTTGTTTTTTTTTTCCTTTTTAGTTAAGCGAGCATTGTAACTAGACATGAATAATGTAGATCTAGTTCCTTAATCAACTTGGTGATGATTTTTAATAATTGCAGCCTTCATAATAACTGAACTATCCAATTTCTCTCCTCTCAAATCCCAAAATAATGGCAACATTAAACTAGTCCAACACCATCTTAATAAAGCGCGTCTTCTTCTCAAACCGTTTACCAATCATGAAAGTACTTCATCAATACCTACTTTTTAGTACTTTACTAATCAAACACGCGCTAGATGTGCCGTGCAAAATACACTTTTATTCTCAATGAATAAAAGCAGTGTATAAATTGTCCCCTTTTTGTTATAGAAATCTCATTCCTCTTCTGTAGTACAAGCTGCCAGGGGACTCGAATAATAAGGACTTTAGAGTAAGTACAACCTAATGCAATTGACCCATTTAATAGTGTGAATTTCATTAAAAGAACACCTTGAACTTCAGGTGGATTTGCATAAAATACACCTGAAGTTTAAAAATTGCATAAAACTTTTCTAATTGTGGGTAATTTCCCTCTGTCCTCCCTTCCCTAACATACTTGTTTATGTTAGAAAATTGATACATGTCTTTGGGGTTTTAAATTTAATTATTTGGTCCCTTGATCTTTTGATGGTTGATCTTCCCGTTGTGTATATTAACACGTGCTTCACTACACAAGTAACGGAGGTTAGAGGGACCGGAAGTCATGTTCTCCGACGTTCAAGTTGGTGACTTCTTTCAATTTATCTGAAGAGGAAAACAAAGTATGATCTTTATTGACTTTTTGTATGTAAAATTGTGTACCCTGGGGTGGTGGAAATCAAGATTATTTGTAGAGGGATTACGGTGGCACATTGATAATTTTGGTAGAGCGCACGCAGTACTGGTTTAGACCTACTTTACACGCCCCAGTCTATTGGTCGAGTCAACTTTGCACAGTGAAGGGACTGTTGGATTTATGACGCGTTCGAGGAGTTTTGAAGGCTCTAGATCACACATCTATTATGACCGACGCTGCATTAAATACTGATGGCAACTGCGCGACGGATTATGAGCACTGATAGGACGTTCATTAAATGATACATGACTTTACGGGATACTTGTCAAACCGAATGACTATTAGAAACATACTTTGTTGGGTCCGATCGGAGAACACTGTTCTTCTCAGATTTGGACATCTCGACAAGATTCAAGTCGGCAGCGCCATTCAACTCGAACTTAGATTGTGAGTCGGGTTAGTTGGCTCATTACTTGGGTCGTGCTTATTGATGCTTTGGGAGTCGGCCAGTGAATCAACACGTGATCATTTTATTAGGTTGTGTAGTTTCCAAAGTATAACAATACTCTAGAATGAAGCTTTCCTCAAAGTTTAGGTGGAATTTTTCAGAACTTCAGAGAGCTTTGTGGAATTAGGTAAATGGCACTTAAGTTCCCTATTATTTCACCATATTAACACTTAAATATTATAACTTGTAAAACATAGCACCTAAATACCCTAAATAATCCAAATATGATGTTACTACATTCTGTTAGTTAGTTTGAAGTGAGAATATGCTAGAAAATTCTCATGTGAGTATCACATGTTATATTTGTACTATTTTGACCCGATTTCTTGTTATAAGTACTACTACTTTACAACTCCTTTTCTTTTTATTAAAGGGTTTTTTTGATATTAGTCCCCAAATCTTTCATACTTCGAATTAGACCCCCAAATCTTCATATTTTGAAATTAGTACCCAAATCTCTAAGTATTTTGAAATTAGTTCACATACATTGTCCACAAAGTGTGTTAAGTGTTTTGAAATTAGTCCTCTAAGTAGCACCATGTTGAGAATTTAGGGGATTAATTTCAAAATATTTATCACATTTGGGACTAATTTTAAAACATGAAGATTTGGGGGACTAATATAAATTTTGGAAGATGTGGGAGACTAATAATGAAAAAACTACTTTATCAAATTACGTCATTCATCTTAATTTTAACATAACTCCAAATTTCCCTCCATCTTTCCCAGTGTCTGTAGGCTGTTTAAAAATTACTGCGGATAGTTGATCCCCACAAAGCACTGATGATGAGAGTTATAATCTGACAACTTTTACATTGACTAATGAAAGTTACAATCTGACGATTTTCATTACAATAGATGATGGAAGTTACAATCTGATGACTTCCACATCAACAGACGAAGGTTACGATCTGACAACCTTCACAACAACATATGAGAATTACAAATTGACGACTCTCATATTTCAAAGATCCGAATACAAGGATTACAAGATGATGATCCTTGCAACACTCGAAAAAAGAGATCATAAATTGACGATCTCTTTGTTTTTGTCAAAAGTTGCTTTTTTCCAATGCTGTTAAACCCGTTACACCATTTATCGATTACATATTCAAACCGAAAGAAAAGTCGATCTTTTTATAAGATCTTCTCACAATGAAAAAGTAAAAATTACAACTTTATTCAACAAAACACAGCAGTAGTTTATCTCATGTTGCTTTAGGTGGGATCTTTGCCTGTGCCGAGGACGCGTTAGTCCGTGGATCATCGCAGATCAGATCCTGTTGACCAAATAATTATGCTCTTGTTTTACGAAGGAAACAATTGCAGCAGCGACAATCACGACCAAACGATATTGTGGCTCTTCACAAGATTAAAACCAAGTTTAATCTGGAGAAAAGAGGGGGAGAGAATCTCGAATCTTTTGAATGCTTTTTCTTTATAAAAAAAGTTCACCAAGATTCGCCAATTCTCCTCTGAAATTCGTGGTTTACTGATCAATTTGATAGCAGCTCGCCCTCTGATT